AACCTGGGAGTTTCAGTGATTTATGTGATAAGTTTAGTAATTCACCTTCATTGTTATTACTGTTTAGGATTTAGCTCTGTCATTTTTTTTTTTTTAAAGATATGGGGTCTCCCTTTGTTGTCCAGGCTGGAGTGCAGCGGCGTGGTCATAGCTCACTGTAGCCTCTAACTCCTGAGCTCAGGCCATCTTACTGCCTCAGCCTCCGAGTAGCCAGGACTACAAGCATGTGCCACCCACTGGGCTAATTTTCTATATTTGTTTGCAGAGATGGGGTCGGCCTATATTGCCCAGGCTGGTCTTGAACTCCTGAGCTCAAGCGATCCTCCCACCTCGGCCTCCCAAATTGCAGGGATTACAGGCGTGAGCCACTTTCCCTGGTCCATATGTATTTATTGTATTTTTTATTGCTGGTATTTGCCCTCCATACCTGTGTTCCATTTAGTATACTGAAGGTTTTTTTCTGTTGGTTTAAAAGTTATATATTCTAGTTTTCTTCTCAGGGTGGCTGCCCTTTACCTATGACTCATACCAATATGTATCACATTTATTGGTATTAATGGTTTTGTTTTATTCCTAATTTTAGAAGTATCAGCACATTTTCCTATCCCTTTTGTGTGCCACCTTCAGCCCCATTTTCTTAATATCTTTCATAGCTATAATTCTTGGTTATTCTTAGCAACACTTCCTTGTTTCTGTGATCCTAGGTTCACATTTCCCACCCCCACCAACCCTTTTTTTTTTTTGAGATGGAGTCTTACTCTGTCGCCTACCCTGGAGTGCAGTGGCACGATCTCGGCTCACTGCAACCTCCACCTCCTGGGTTCAAGTGATTCTCCTGCTTCAGCCTCCTGAGTACCTGGGATTACAGGCACCTGCCACCACACCCAGTTAATTTTTTGTATTTTTAGTAGAGACAGAATTTCGCCATGTTGGCCAGGCTGGTCTCTAACTTCTGACCTCAGGTAATCCACCCACCTCGACCTCCCAAAGTGCTGGGATTACAGGTGTGAGCTACCACGCCCGTCCCACATTTTCGCTTTTTGTTGACAACAGTAATCTGGAACAGATTCTTTGATCACTCGTCCTCCTTGGTGGTCTTGTCACATGTTCTGTGTTTCTCTTGCTATTGGAGTTCCTTCCTCTAAACTATTTCCAACTTGGATCTTCAGGAGGTAAATATTCTTCAGGTTTTAATAAGCTCAGGAGCTTATTTCCTGAGCTATTTCATCCAGTGGTACTGTTCTAGGCTGTTAGTCATAGTCTCAAGAAGGCGGAGAATGGTTTCTACTTTAACTTACCTTTTCATAGATGCACTTGTAGATCAGACAAGCTTATTGTTTTTCTCTTATTCAGCTACTGCTAGTCTTCTCTTCTCCCACTAAGGAAGGAGACCACTACTACTCCTGCAGCCCTCCTACCCCCACCTTGCCTAGTTCACAAAAGAGGAGGAAAGAGAGAAAGCAAAAAGTTAGAAAGAAACAAAAGTAAGATAAATAGCTAGACAACCTTGGCACCACCACCTGGTCCTAGGAGTTAAAGAAAGTAATAATAATAACATCAATCCCTGACCTAAACTACTTGTGTTATCTGTAAATTCCAGACACTGTATGAAAAAAGCATTGTAAAACTTTTTGTTCTGTTAGCTGATGCATGTAGCCCCCAGTCACGTTTCCCACGCTTGCTCAATTTATCACGACCCTTTCACGTGGACCCCTTAAAGTTAAAAGCCTTTAAAAAGGCCAAGAATTTCTTTTTCCGGGAGCTCGGCTCTTAAGACGTGAGTCTGCCGATGCCCCCGGCCGAATAAAAAAACACTTCCTTCTTTAATCTGGTGTCTAAGTTTTGTCTGTGGCTCGTCCTGCTACACCAGCATCACACCAGCTCCTCCCCCATTGCTGTGGGGTCCCTGCTCTCCCTGTTCACCCTGTTCCCACCATTGGCTCCCCATTCTTACTGCCCTCCAAGCATCATCCCAGCCCCTCCGGGGTCACTGCCTGACCAGGTGGGGGTTGGGTGAAGAGGCAGAGATCAAGACAAGACACCTGATCCAGTTTGACTTTAGGTTCCTCTCTGAAACGCGACTGCATTCCACATCCTGTTCCTCCGGCATCCTTAGCTGGGAGGATGTGTAGGACTGTGTAGAATCTTGGCAGGTGATGACCAGTTCCTGCAACCATGGCTTTTCAGCTACATTGATTTTTCCTAAAACAGACAAGCAGACTGGCAATAAGTTATAGAAATACGGTTTTCGTTACTAAAAATAGAGATGTGTACACCTATCAGTGCTGGTTTTTGAAATAAACATAAGCCCATAGGCACTCTGCTGCATGCAGATTCTATCTCAAAATAACACACTTTGAAGATCTTCCAAGATCTGCACATACAGATTGTTTTCCTTTTTATCTCTGCATGATATTGCATAGAAAGACTGCATCACAACAAATGTAACCAGTGTCTATGTATGAAGATCCAGATGGTCTCCAGTCCCTTACTTTTACAGAAACGAAATGCTGCAGAAACTGTGCTTGCATGAGTCTCAATTCAATTGTATCGAATAGATTTCCAGACACAGAATTGCTGTGCAAAGTAATGCACCTTTAAAGCGTCTCATGTCACGGAATGGCAATGCTGGCGACACTCTTGTCTGTGATTGTGAAGACCCAGCTTGGGCAGAGGATGGTGAAACATCCACTGTAGAGAGAGGCGTAACTAGTACAAGCTTCCTGGAGAACAGGGTGACAGGGCTCATCAAGGGTCAAAAATATCCAAGTCTGAATTAAGAATATGTATTAATATGCGTTTGAAATGGCATAAAGACTCCCTGGAAAGATGAGAAGAATCCAATAAAGTTTTGTCCTGGGCATGTGGCCAATGAGAGTGGATGCAGGCAGGGGTGGGGGAGTCTTTTGCACATGACTTTTCATGGTTTCCATCCTGCAACAGGTGACTATATGGAGGTAAAGAAGTAAGGAAAAATGGGGCCCAGAGTCCTGGGGACAGTCACTGGGTGGGCTTGCCAGATCTGTTGTGGGCCACGAGGTTCCAGGGACTCGGAACCCAGGTAAGCGCATGCGGGACTGCTGCAGTGACGAGACACTGGTTATAGATATTTACCCAACGGTATTGTCACAGGGGAAATATTACAGGTGATTGCTGATTTCAACCACAGATGATTTTGGGGAAAGTTCGCACCTGGCGGTTTCAGTTTCCACCCAGTCACGTCCTCTGGGCTCTGCTCCCTCCTCCCAGGTCGCCCGCTACGCC